GGGAACAGATCCCTCCGGAGCTGGAGGTCCTGTGGACACTCCAGAGCTCCCCATGGATGCACACCCGGGTCGTTTTCCCAAAGGAAGAGCTCCTTGTCTCCGTGGGGATCAGAGATGTCCACGGACACTTTTGAGGTGTCCTGGATTCCGGCTGCTGATCCATGTCCTGGATTCCAGCTGCTGATCCATGTCCTGGATTCCAGCTGCTGATCCATGTCCTGGATTCCAGCTGCTTTTCCTGTCCTCTCCATGTCCACGTGGGACAATTTTCCCTCACTCCTTCCCTGTGTCCGTGCAATGGAATTAAAGCCCTAATTAGCACAGCCAGTGTATTAATAATACATTATCATTATTAATATTTATATTTAAATTATAGTGTTATATTACTAATATAATATAATATAATATAATATAATATAATATAATATAATATAATATAATATAATATAATATAATATAATATAATATAATATAATACAATACAATATAATATAATATAATATAATATAATATAATATAATTAACTTAAATTAAATTATAAGATTGATCTTTATTATTAATATTAATAATAATTGCCCAAGTCACCCTAAATCCCTAAATTTGCTCCATATTTGGACTTTTGGACTAATTTGGCCTTTTCCTGACTCTTCACCAGAGGGACCCACATATTTTTCTGCATAAATTTGCAAAGTAATTAGCACAGGGAGTTCAATTAATTAAGGGAGTTCAATCCCATTCCAGCGTTCCGTCCCCAAAGTTTGGAAAGGGCTGGGAACAAACACAGCAAAAACCAGAGATGATTTTCACCCCGAGCACCTGGGAATCTGCATTTCCTTCGGGAAGCTGGATTCACCTGGATAACAATTAAAATCAGGCAGCGGAATAGGATTTTTATCTGGATTTGGGAAGGGATAAAAAATAGGATGGCAGTTGATGGAAATCCCTGATTTTTCTGGAAATGTGGCCACATTTTTCCTTAAATAATTTATGGAAATCATTTCCAGGCCGATTCCTGCAGTAGCATCCCTTGGATTTTGTGGTCTGGAAATTCCAAGTTTTATATTGAAAGCTGTGTTTTTATATTGTATTTTTATATAATTTTATATTTTTAGTTTTATAATTTTATATTGCACTTTTTTGTATTTTTGAGAAGGTTCAGCAAAGAATTTGCTTTTTCATGTATAAATTAATTGTAAAATAGAAATAAGTACAATTAAAAATGTATAGTTTATATAAAATATTATTTATATTATAAATATTATAAAATATTTTTATTTTATATTTATATTATAAATATAAATATAAAATATTATTTATATTATAAATAAATATTTTGGTGAGTTTATACAGAAACCTCCAGGAAGTATCTTGGGTTTTCATTTAGCTGAAGGAAAAGGGGAAAATCTGGAATAATTTTTTGTGGGGTTTTAGACCTCGATCATTCAAAGTTTTTCCTTTCATTAATATTTTAATACCTAATTAAAAACCAGCACCTCTCTGGCTGGCTTTGCTTGGTTTGAAATAAAAT